AAATGAAATTACTTAAACACTCCGTCTTAAATATATTGAAATAAAAAAAAAAAATACATTCTAAAAAACCTATGATGCGAAAGTCCGAAATAAAATAGAATGTGGTATTTTTTTAAAAATAACTTGCAATCTTAATAATATCATAATATGTTATGGTAAAAGTGTAAAATTAAATTAATTTTCTTAGTTATAATTTAATTATTTGTTAATGTTAAGTGTTTAAATAATATTACTTTTAAAGCTATTTGCATGTATTTAATTTACCTATTGTGAATTTTTGGCTACAGAGCTGATGTTATTTTACTGTTGCAAAGTTAATGTCACCAAATATAGAGATCATTTCTCTCATAATTTATGTTCAAACACAATGTTCGGTATACGTCTATTATTATTAGAGTTTAGCATGGAAAAATTGTGAGCGTTTGGCCGAACGCCGTCGTCTATTCAATATTCACAAACTCAAAATCATATTTCTTGTAGCCAAACTTTTTATAGGGGTTGTGGCTTTCTCGTATCCACGTGACTCTCGGAAAGTTTATCTCCAACTAAATATATTATAATATATTATATACACGTTGTGTTTAGAATTAAGTTTGCTATGATATAAAATATATATGCATGCACTATATACCATGTAATATGATGTTATATTGTACGTATAATATATGGGCACTATCCATAAGTAGAACAAATCGGTTGAGTATCGTTTAACATGATATAATAAATGTATAAAATATATTCTCGTAATGTGAACAATAAATATTAAAACTTAAACAACATCCATTTCATCATTTTTGTTGTAAGTCACTTGAAATATAAATGCAGGTTTAAAAATTTAAAAAAATCGAAAATTGAGAAAATACACTAAAAGAAACCAAAAGACCAAAAGTCAACCAAAAGAAACTAATTATCCACCTCGCATTCAATTGTTTTTATAATTAAAGTTGGTTATACATTTTTTTTTTTAAGCAAATAATATGATAATGTCACAATAGAGATTTTAATCAAATATTTTTGTCGACGCATTGAGCGTATCTCAAGTAATTATTCCCCTTAAGTTTTTTCACTATTTATTATTAGTACCTATAAGAAAATGTGCACCTTTCTAGCGAATAATTTATAGGATTGAAATGTATTACAGAAAACTGCTGCACCATATCTTTTTACTAGATTTCGGTGTTCTATAAAATACACATATCAAAAATGGCTTAGGTGTTACTTTTCCCCCGATATCGATCGTTCACTTCTACATTGAAGCGATTTGTTGTAGAGTTCTGAAACTTTGGTGTATGAAATTCGCTATTCCAAAGAATTCAAGTTATCTGCCTCATTAAAGGCCATTTACTGTTATCTTGTTAAATCCCTTTTGGAATACGTAGAATATTACATAGTCCAATGAGAATCTTTCACAGCTGTTGACTCTTCACGTATAAAGCATGTACAAAGGGAATTTCCGAATTCCACGTACTTCGTCCAAAAATTGGACCACAATAATCCACATGACTACTGCCCAGTCATGCATAAGCTTGGTCTCAACCCTAATCAGATATATTGATAGAAGCATAGAGGTTAACTTAGTATTCCTGCGTAAGTTGATGTATGGATTCCGCTTATTTTTTGCACACCCAATTAAATGTTAAAATTCCTTCACGTTTCACACGATCCCAAATTCATTTTACTGTACCCGTTTATTCTGCTAATTATGCTTGCAACCGCCCTATATACGCAGAATGATGTACCTGGAATATTATCGCAATTGTTTATTTGCCGATAATCGTTTATTTGTATGCTATTTTGTTTTTGCGTTTATATTTCCACATAGGTACTAACTTAATAGGCCAACTTTATTAAGCTTATTTCTGAGATTCATTACTAATATAATTACCACACCGTGTAATTATGTACTCTTGTATATAAAATATTTAATCAATATTGTACATTGTTACTGCATTGAGCTTTATTTTCATTAATTAAAAAATAATAATAATATTAAATAAATTGTATGCAGTATAAAACGGGTATACCACCATGCATCATGATTGTGTATATATTCTATAGCCGGCACTTCGTGTAGGCAATTTCGGTACATTGACGTGTAGGTGGATTTTGAACACTATCCCGCACATATGAATGTAATGTCGATAGACAATTAATGATTATTCAATTTTTCAAGAGAAAAAATATAATTTCTATTATTTTGTTTTTTTTTTTTAAAATAATATTTTGAAGAAAAAAAGTTTCACTGCATTTATCTATACATTGAAATTGTTAAGGTGTATTTTAATTATCTTATTTTTTCTATCAAAAAATATCCTCAACAGAACAAAAATGAAAATGATAATCAATGACTACCTATTTTTATAAATAAACAAATGATATGCGTTCGTACAAAGTAGAATAATCCGTAAAATACAATGTCATGGATACGAGGTGCCTATAGAACAAAACACATCCTCTCAGGACTCTTATAATATACCCTTTTGAGGGCACACAACATCCCCCAACTATATAAATAATGATTCATTGCACCACGTGCATTATTATTGTTTGCCAGAAAATTAATGTGATAATAAAATCCATGTTACTAATATTGCGATACCGATGTTAATCACTGTCAAAATTCCAATTTTACTCACAAACAGTTTAACCGAGTACATCGTATAAAGTGCAGTTGTTTCCAAATTAATTTGTTCATGGTAAATTATCTTTATATAACTAAAATTTATGGCGCTCCTAAAAATTAAAAAAAAATGTTTACATTTTCAATTACAAAAACTGAAAGGTCTACATTTTAATAGTAAAAAGTTTAGGAAACACTGGTCCAAAACTAACAGGCGATAAACTAACAATACAGGTGACTGATTATTTTAACATTCAATAGAATTATTCACACTGAAATATTGAAAGAGATTTTTGTCTTCTTACTACAACTATGATATTATTAATTCTAAATAATTTAGAGTAACATATTACACTTGTATTACAAATTTTTTTTTTTTGAAAAACTGTTTTTTATATAATTTAATAAAAAGTTCAGATCTTACCACTCACATAATTAATATTATAAAGGCACATAATTTGGGAAATACTATTATTTATAGCCATTGAATAGTACATAAGTTGACAATTATATGCGGACCGTATATTAATTCTGAATCGTGGAAACTAAAAAAGCAAGTAGCTTGCTGATTACACAACACCCTTTTTGTTTTGGATTTTTCTGTCTTTTTTAGAAACACTAAAAACAATATCTTGTTGTTTTTTACTTTCATTATTTGTCTTTGTAGACTCAGAATAATAATATTAGGTAAACATTTAGCACATAAGTAATTTGAATGTTAATGATGCATAAAATCATTTTTTTTTTTTTTTTGGACCTCAAAAGTGTTTATCAAATCATCCGGACCCGCTCAAGAACTAAATGCCGTCCCTAAGATTATGGGAGCATTGTCATAATAAAATATTTGTATAATATTATAATAAGTTATTCCAACAGCGGCAGTGTTAGTATTGTCGTATACACCCACAAAGTTTCATATAATGCATTATAATTTAATAGTTGAGTGTAATATACATTATGCTTCGATTAATCAAATGGTTCACACAGAACGTTTAATTTTGACAACTCCCACTATTACTATAATCATTTATACGTTATTTATTAGTGTACACTCGACGACAATACATTTTGCACGTTTCTTGAATCGTGCTAGTGTTCCGTTTTTTTTTTAATATAAATTATTGTATAGTTATTATAATTACTGATACTGTGAAAAAGTGTGCGTGGGTGTGTCAGTGGGTGTGTACGGCATCTTATAAAATATCCAGACGAATACACAATACGACTGTCTGCATCAAGTGATTTATTATTTACACAGGAGAAGAATTATCAGGAAAATTATCTCCGAGGAGGTACCTATATTATGTACATACTATCACAGCGTCGTATTCAGGACGTGTGAATCCAAATAACCTCACCTAGGCTGTCAGGTTCTAAAGTTAAGGGTTATCGACATGTTCCGCGATAAAATAATCACTCTGCATAAACTACAACCGTTGATACTATAGCGTATGATATATTACTTAAACTCGCGGTACGTATATTATGCGGAATGGATATAATAATAAACAACCGACTAATATTTCAAAGTTTTGATATTACAATGTGAACAATAACAATATATACATTTTACGTTACACAGAAGTATACGGTGAACAGTACACATATATTATTATACTATGCGTATATGATGTGCCACGACTGCATATTATACATTGTATCGAATTTATTTTGTTTTGTCGACCTTTGTTTTTTTCGGAAACGTATTCCTATCACAATATGTGCATCATTTAAAATACGGTTATTTATTATGAATTTCAAATTAATAAAAACAATTTTTGTTTGATATGAATTTTACAAAATTGTTGTTTTTTCTATTGCATCTATGTATCTTCTATAATTCTAGCTATCTTTGCGTAGATTGGATAATTTTCTACCTGCCTTAAAATATATACTATATTTATCTAATAACTTTGAAAAAATCAACTTTTTCTTGTCTTATGATTTGGAGAGCTGTTATTGTAAGTTATAACATTATGTGTCTAACTTTAAGTTATACTGAATCTGTGTGCATTGTTTTCATCAAAAGTTATTTGTAACGTGTTCAGAAAATTGGGTAAACACTACCATATAATACCGATGTTCAACAAACCTAACTAATAACTTTTATACTTTTTTTTAAAAAACGCATTATTACTTATTATACCAGCTTAATTACGTTAGAGAAATAGTGCGTATTTTAGAGCACATATACATGCCTTTCTTATTTTATGACATGAAGTCCCTGGTGTTGATAAAACCATTGTCGTCGGGTTAAACAATCGAATGGATATGCCTAAACTAAATTACAGAATATGAATTATTACAACATAATCAGTAGAACGTGATAACGTACAATCTATAAAGAATATTTCATCAGTGTTTTTTTTTTCGTTTTCAGACGCGGTGTTCGGCTTGAAGGGCGTCCGGATTTGGAACCCTGAAGCCATCCGAGCGGGCGAGCTGTTGCGGCTTTCTTGCGACTACGATCTTGAGGGGGTGCCACTGTACTCGATAAAATGGTACTTTGGAGACCAGGAGTTCTACAGGTTCGTTCCGAAAGAGTCACCGCCGACCAGGGTATTCCCGCTTTCGGGTACAACATCGGTTGACGTGAGTATAAAAGAACATAGATTATATAGTATATACGATATACCTATACAAAATTATTTATACACCTACTCAATGCATTTTTGACCATTGTACTATTGAGGGGGCTAATTTTCTTAACGTCAACGGCTTAAGTTCATTATCGTGAAGGAGAGTTATGTATTTAAGACAATTTAAAAATATATAACGGATTAATAAGCACTAACGAACTACAAAAAAAAAATAATATTAAAATATTGTCAAGAAATAAATCACACTGTCTATAAAACACTGAGACTGTATTATATTCTATAGACGGTGATCGGATAAACTTTATAATTAGAAAATGACTGCTTTTCAGAAAACGTTAATACTTCTCAGTTAAATAGTGTTTATACCTATAATTAAATATGATATCAAAAAAACCTTAGGCAATGTAGGTAATTAATAATCGTAAACATACTTTGTATTACTTTGTATTATGTCACTATAGAATAACATTAATTCGATGTAAATATACATTATAATAATTTATTTCACATTATTTTGATAGTCTCGGTATTTGGTCCCTGATTTATGTCATTTAAAAAGTTTGTCCACTAATCACCACCAATCACGGATCCATTGATAGTTATACGACTTTACTCGCTAAAACTGAACTTTTCAAAAACGATGGACACATTTTGAATAATACTACCTACCTACTGAATTAATAAGTGCAAATCAGCGTAATAACTCAAACACACACACACACATATTTATACTGCAGAATTACATAAAAATAATAAATGTATAATTATATAGGTGTACGCAATAACTATAATAACTATATATAATAATCGTAAATTATATAATATCGTGCAATGAATGAAACTTTGGTCCCTCGGAAGAATGAATGTTCGACTCGACGCAAATAACTGCAAAGTTTATCCATCTCATATACAGTCCCCCAAGGATGTTTATACGTGAACCTTCAGTTACGACCGTTTCGCGTTATTTTCCGTGCATGATAATAATATCATATAACATTATTCTTGTGGATCTTTCAACACGGCTGACAAAATTCCTAAAGTAATTTGTGTTTCTCGTGACGTTTTAAATTAAATGCATTCGCCGGACATTCGACCTTTTTTCAAAAGGTAATACAATTGTAAATAGGTACACAGTGAATAATAATATGTATTATAACCACTGAATGACCATTCCATGAACTTCATTCAAGAAATTCTTTATCATCGAGGTGACGTCGGTTTACTGTTATCGCGATCCTCACTAAATTTGATAATATTTTTCATTCAAAATGTACCGTTAGCACCTGGGGAATTCAGTGATGAAGAGGAGCAATTACGAAAATTAAAAAGTGTTCTACTATCATAGTACAATCATAGCAAACCTTGAACATTTTTTCTCAGGTTTTCTTAATTACCTTCGATTAATACGGTACCTACCTACACAATGTATTACACTTATATGCCTTAACTATATTATAACAAACATATTTTTACAAATTGTACCTGCACTGTGTTGTTTAAGGTTATTATTAAAACGGTTTTCTATTACAGTGGAAAATACTCCGTCACCCGACGCTTTGCTATTTATGTACCTTTGAGTAGCTTATTCCGATTGCACTTGTCACGAATTTTATATTATACCAATGTCCAATTAAGTTTCTTAAATAGATAACAATAATGTTCGATTCACTGACCCTGTGGTCTGATGAGTGGCGACACGCGGAAGTGTTAAAAAAATACTTTGACATCGTAGATCAAGCCTCCCCCCTAATCATCACTCCATTATTAGGTACATAATGCATTAATAATTATTTTTTTCATTTTGACGTTAATTCGGGATCTACAGCAAGATCCTTTCAATATCCTAAAATAGTAAAATGGGCCCTATCTATAAAATCAACTACGACAAATGGCACACATGAATTAGTTCATCGGCGCCACTGGGTCTGATTCGTAGAATTCTACAGTGATCTGTTTTTAAAGTTAATGTGTATTCTAAATAGTTTTTTTTTGTAAACGCATGTTTTTAGATATCTGAGTCGGACGATCACTCAGTCACACTGACCAACCTACCTCGGGACATGTCAGGCCACTATAAATGTGAAATTTCAGCGGATGCTCCACTGTTTCATACGCAAATCAAAGAGTCATACATAACTATAATTGGTAAGTGCTATTCTTAATATAAATATTATTACAGTTTCTCATATTGGTACGGCGATAGTAATATTTCTATGTCAGAACCGTACCATTTATGGGTTACCAAACTCCAAATAGTACTATTATTCAACACTCTCAGAAATCGAAATCAGTACTATTAATATAGTATTTAACTAAAGGTAAAGACATTTTTTCCATTTTTTTTTTAAATTTAAATAATATGCATATAGTTATTTTAATGTTTTAGTTCAATAGCTCACCAATTAGTACCAATATCTACTGGTTTATTAGTAATAAATTATTACACATAAAAAAAATTTAATGATTAATGATTATCATGATAAAAATAATTTTAAAATATACATTACGCTAACAACTCGACAATTGCAAATAATAAATATTTCCCTTTAACGTCATGATTTCCTTTGCAGAAGAACCACAGACGCCGCCACTTATGTTTGCCGGTAAGCTCAAGTACATCAAGGACGAACCAGTAAAGATAAACTGCACTTCTTATTCGGCGTTTCCAGCCACCAATCTCACGTGGTTCATAAACGACAAAAAGGTGAGTGAACCGAATACTACATCAAATCGTAGATTTGTATAAGGATGCAATACATTTGGATAGGATATATTGATACTTACTATATACCAACACGGCCACATTGTGTAATTTAGAGTGTGGTTATAAGCTAAGAGCTCAATATTCGGAGCAATCGCAGTTTTTCAAAGTCTGTGCGGATCGATGAATTGATTTATTTACTGGGTTCTTTTGTTTTCATTATTTGTGTGTGTATTTGAAGACAAAAATCTAGTTTGTATTTTGGAGGATCAAAAATAGTAGAAATATCCAAGTGCATTTGTCTTTTTATAAACACTCATTTATAAATTGATTTTGAATTGTTAGCTTTTCAGCTTATGTACGATAAAATTGTTGTTTGTGAATACAAAAAAATGTTTAATACAACGTCTCTAGTGTTGAAAAGAATTTGAGTAAGAGTATTTAAGTACTTTTTTAAGTACCTACCTATTCAAAACTTTTTTGTATGCTTTTATTTTGTAACTATTTTAATGGTATTTTGAATATTATATTTTTTTTAGTATTAAATAGGTACTAATTATTAATTAAATACATTTTTTGATTGCTTTAATTTTAAAATTGTTAATTGTTTTTACTTTTAATTCCTGTTAAATACAAATCCTTTGCCATCGTACTTTGAAACGTAAATAAAACCCTTAAGGTAGAATTGTTACAACGAGTAAAATTATTATTATACTAAACGTGCATAACAAAGTAAAAACACGCATTATGGTTCCGATTTACAAGTACAAATTCGGGGACGAGCGATAACTAGTCTAAAACTTTTGCAATTATATAATAAATGAGACATATTATTTATAATATCGTAATTTATTATTATTATATTAGGTAGTCTAAATGTCTGTAGGTCTGCTGCAGGATGCAGGGTAATTGTCAACCTTGTCAAATGCGACGGTTAAGTGTTTAAACGATTAATCAAATTCAATGTCACCTCTCGCAGTACGCCCGTCGGTTTTTAATAAATATACAGTATTAACATTTTTTATTTAAAAATACGAAAGTGCAACAACTCGAATACATTCACGTAACGACGATTACAAAGTAACTTACAAACTATATGCATTATCTTTAAATTCAAAATAACAAAAACAAAACTTTACTAAAAGAATTGGAGTTATGTACCCATTTTGTACGTTTTTGAACCCACCAAAAACATTTTTTTCACAACCTATTGTTCATCATCTATTATTTTAAAACTCCAGTTTATAGTAAGTGTCGGTTTATAAAAAAAAAAATCAAATTCATTATAATATTATAGTGCAGATTAAACATCAACCAATATAAATACCACCTATAGTTCGTGATACTGTTAGCGAGGGGTGACGGGTGGGAAACCTCTAAGTGTGTATTTAGGTAAAATTAATTTAACAAACTTGAAATTTGTAATTAAAACTAAAATACCTATTTTATCGTTTAATTCGTTTTTTGTTATGATGATGGAAATGTTCAATCGTGATTTCACTGAAAAATTAAACTATAAACAAAAATTTCTGAACGATTTTGTTATTGCTTTCATACCGTATTTATAAAAAGTAAACAAGTTGCGAAAGCTCACTCAACGAGCGCGATGAATTCCCGATTTCAAAACGAATTTCATTACAACCCAATAAACTTACTATAATTCTATACAAAATTTAAAAACAATTTGGTGACCTTTATATGTCGGTGCCTAATTTTTAATATTGGCTAGTATATGAACCCATAATATTGAATACTCATATTTTGATATTTTTTAATATTGGCTAGTATGAATTGAATTTTAACAGAACCGTAAACAATTATCTCATATCGCAGCACTTCAAAATCGTTGAATAGAACAGTATTAGGTACATAATGTTGTGTTTATTCAACTGCACAATCTATTAAAATATTTATACTAATAAAGCTCTAATTAAATGCATTTCTAGTTTTTGTTTTGAAATATGAATATTGAAATGGAAAAAAATAATATCAACTGCCGTAACTATATATAGTGAAGCATTAATTAACGGGAAGGCGGACAAACACAACATTGATAATATATTATGGTGTTTTAAGCTATTATGGTTAGAAATGTGAAAAATTGTTAAACGGTTTTAAACAATTGATCTGTTGTGTTTGAACAAAATATCATAATTTATGAACGCATCAATTGCGTGTATGCATTTTAAAAGAAAGTCTACCACTATACCACAGTCGCAATTACTGAAAAAAAACAATGGACAAAATATTTTTATTTTATTTGTCAAAATTGCTGAACTCTACGATATCGCGGTCCATCCAAGTTATAACGGAATGCTTAATATTTAAAACTATTTCCATTTAACTCGTTTTACACGTGAAAACGCACTCACGACGTTCTCTTCCGGTGTCCCGCTGCGTTTAATAAATCGTTTCTCGTTTGGTTGCACTCTGTCGGCTCCTACGAGTAAATATTTAACACGTCGATCCGTCTCCGGAACAACAGAGTAACTCATCCATATCCGTTACACGTTATTATTATTATTATTATTACCTATAACTCACCCGTACCCAAATCGTACAAACACAGTAAAACCTCTTTATAACAGAATCAACTGATTTTACCTTTATAAAGGTTGTCCGTTATAAGAAGACTAAAATATACGGGACAAAATTAACAAGGGACTGATCTCTGCGAGGACTGAAAAAATGAATAAATACTACTCTAATATGATATATTGATATATATATATTAATCAGTTTGAATGTATTTCAGGGCTGAAAAAAATGAATAAATACAACTCTAATATAATGTATATATATATATCTGCTTTAGTGTAGCTCAGTTCACAGTCAAATTGGCATCAGTATGCACCAAGCTTTGAAAAATAATTCGACCAATATGGGCAATCTGAGTCACGGATTAGGTTAAGCACTTGGTATATTTTTTGAGCTACCTACTTTCTAAATTTTTCTGATATCTGTAATAACAATATCTGATATTTTCGTTAACATCCATTGAGTAGTTTTTGAGTGATGAGTATATAAGCTACAAACACACATTTACAGGTTTTAAGATAATATTATAGTTTACTTAATGAAGACCAAATAAAAGTGACAATTCAATGCATGCTTGTACCTGATCTGCCCAAGTGGCAACCAATGGCTACCATTTGTATATAAAAAAAAACTAATTTCTACTTAAACTACAACAATCTTTCACCCTCAGCGAATCTAAGAAAATCCTTTGTAATGGGTATTTACATCATAAAACGAAATTTAGCTCATAACTTCTGATGATTAATCAGTCAGTCAGTCAGTCAGTCTGGACAAGTTATTTTATAGAAATTCAACTATGTTTTTTTTATTCTCTATAACCAATGGTAACCTTACTATGCAAACAAAAACTTATTTATACATATTTTATTATTTATTATTTTTTTTTGTATTGTTCGTTTTTTTGAGAGCTTACAAATATGTGAGCGAGCCCCACTTTAAAATTCAAAAGTTAAATATTTGTTTTCAAAGTGCACATCCTTGGGTAGGTATAGGATTACCTATGTACCAAATTTCAGAACCACGAATGAGCTAAACTTGGTTGTGAAACGCTTACACACACACACGCAATGACAAGTGCGCCTAAACGCTCACCCATTTCATCCTTCACTCTAGAATTTATAATTAAAATTTCGACTTTTAGTATATTAAAGCATACTTAAAAGATCATATTGTAACTTTAATAATTTGTATGGAACTGTGTACCACTATACTTATTCAGCGGATGATATAGATGTATTTAAATCAAAATGTTAACACCTAATTTTTCTGAGTTGTTATTATCTTTATACTTAATTATACGCACTGAGAATAATAACGAAATACTTAAATATTCATTCTTAAAGACTATAAGGGTTTTAAAATTATAGCAATAAACATTAGTCTATGAGCATTTTGTATAGAAATATTCTTTAAATACCTAATAAGTAATCGATAATAATATAATATGTTATATATATTTTATCCCTTCATATTATCAATGATTACACAATGCTTAATAACTCTAAAACTTTATAAATGTTTTAATTTATTATATAAACGTGAATAATGTTTGTGTGAATCAACAGTGTTAATCGTCGTGAGAAAGTTATTAGAAAGAAGGACGTACAACCGGGATTCGTGAATTACGAATACTCATTTATTAGAATTATGACGTTTAGCTTTAAAATGACTGGGTAGTATATATTTTCAACATGTTACAAGTTATTACTGTTACAAAAATAAAAAAAGAGAGTGGACACACACACAAACACGTCGCCTTTTATTAATATAGATAAATATGGTATATCAATGTTCTGGGATGATTCATTCTAAAGTCTATGCTATCAACTTTTCTATCAAAATCTGTGTGTTGTCTGCTTTGTATTGTTTTTTTATTTTTATTTTCAAGTGTTTTTTATCTGAGTGGATTAGTATTTGTCAAGTAAATTAAACTTTTATTTAGTAAAGTGAGACGAATATTTTTAATTTCATAAACAGAAGCATATTGATGTTTTTTAATACATAAGATACCGAGTAAACAGTGCTTTATTAATATACGAGTATTTAAAGTTTACACGAGCATAGTGAAATGGAGACACTGCAAATTTGTTTCGTGAAAATGTTATGGATCCACTCATCTAAACTTTGAGATGTGCTTATTAATGAAATACTATTTACTCGATAATCGGTTATAATAATAATTAATACTATTAAAGTCTTCGGATAAGCATTAATCTGCTTCTGGCAGAAAACTAAAGTTATGAATAATAGGTAGTATGAAAAACTACGTATAGAAAACTTCTGTTAAGATAAAAATAAGTTAAAATAAGATTTTATTTGCATATCTAGGTACAATAAACTATGTCTTTAACATTTATCAAGACATTTTCAAAACACAAAATTAGTCTGTAATATCCGTGTAGCCAATCAAACGAAACACTTTGTGAACTGAGTATATTATAATTATACAATATATTATGGTACAC